GACGGGTGCTAGGGGTCCCTATGTTAATGGTAGACATATAGCTTCAAATCATAACGAAGAGAAGGACTTTTTCGTCGCCACGAGGGCTTAACCTGACCCGCCAGATACATGCGATCTTACCCTGGAAGGGTTTATCTTTATTCTCGTTTGAACGCTTCCCTGCGGAATGACACCAAGCTGAGGTGCGCTTCGTTGCAAAAGTGAATATATGCTGTCTAGAAGACGAGTCATTATTATTGACGCTCCAAAATTTAGAATAGATCGGTGAGATAATCCCACGTAATCTTAATAAATCTCAATACGCATTCTAAAACCTATTGGCATCCGCTCGCCGTCGAGTGAATTGAATGATAAGTACTTTTAAGTCTCATCGAGAGGCTGTCGCTACCATATTGCTAGCTGCAATGGTCTGTTCGGGCACGGCTTGATCACTTTGCATGCGTTCTATAATTAACGACCGCTAGCATTTACCGATGTACGCCGCAAACAGCAACACCTTGCTTCTAAATCGCTCTGCTGAGCTCTTCATGATTTCACTGAAGGGGCTATTCTCCGCCGCGAGGAAATATCACGATTTAGATGACTAGTCTCAACTATTCGGATTGCCATCAGGTGTCAGCCCCGCCTTCTAGCCCTGGCAGCGTAGGCTGCGTGACATTGACTTACAGACCGACTCAGCTGAGCTGTTACTAATTAACAAAGTGGCGTAGTTTCTTACCGGGTGGCATTTACTGGCTCCGATATATATGATGTACGTACAAAGCCACATGGCTGTTGGCAGACTGTCAGATCGTAGTGATATTTTAAAGCATAAAAACCTGGAGTTGTAGTTCTTGTACATTAGATGAAGCACGTTCGCTGCCTACTTATCCGCTCGGCGTGCGGTTAGATGTGTATGAGCACCGCAAGGCTGCCATTGAGCGTATACACCACGCGCTTGTGATAAGCGAAACCTATACAGGGGGTCACTGTCTCTATCTCACTAATTTTGCATCGTCGTGCTAACAAACGGTGCTTAGACTTAGGTGTGTCAGGCGATACGACCTAGCGCGTCACTCACTGGGCACAGGTCGTACCGCAACGAATCACAGGCAAGCTGACCGCGCGTTTGTTAGCAATACTCAGCGCGATACCTCCATGCGCGGCGGGTACATCAGGACTCAAACAACTGTGAGCGTTGGTGGTACAGATAGCATGGCTGTTTGTGTACAGGTGAGCGATTGTACTTGCCAACTACATTGACGCGCGTATGCAGATAGCGACGGCCAGCTTGCAGCGGTACACAGTAAATACCATGTATTGCGTACCACTGCAAAGTGCTGTTCCGGCGGCACACCTCCGTTTAATTTGATGGTCGATTCTATTCCTCCCAGAACTCGGTTGCGGTATTGCAGACATTACAACGTCGCACGATGACGCGCTCGCTGATTGAACGGACCGCGTAACCGTACTGTAGCCTCCCGCAGCAGGCATAGCGCGAATGTGGGTCCGTTGTAGACTGCTGCGGATTCGGCAGGAGCAGGTCAATCTTCGCCTTGCATTGATTGCACGTAGGTTTGTGTTGCAAACTGCGAAAAAAACGATATTGTTTGAATCAATAGCAGGCGTCAAATATTAGCAAATAACACGGTCATTAGATGCTGGGTGTCTATTACGCAACAAATATTTACTGGCTGTAATATTATAATATACTAGTACAATTCTATAGCTAGTGTAGTTGGTAATATCATATTAGCAGTAAGCAATATGATACATTTACTATTATTCATTAAATTAGATTATTTTCTACGCTAATAAATAATAATTAATACAAATTTACTCTTATTCAAATAAAACAAATATAGGCGCAACGTATATTATACATTGCGCCTATGTACCCATCACGTACGTTAATTGGGTGCAGTAAACTCATTACAAAGACTACTTAAATTTACAAAAACACACAGAAGAATGTGTGGAAAAGATTGCACCGCAGAGCTCTTAAAAACATATTGGCTACCGCTCCTGATTGCAGTACATAGGACATGTTGTGTGCAGCAAACTGTAAATAATTTTACGTCTGGTGGTGACCTCACGTCCAATGGCGAAAGCGAGAGACGGCCTGATCGTGCTACAGATCTAGTCGGTGTCACAGGTCGGCAAATATCACCCAATCAGAGCGCGAATTAAAAGTGTGACGCTGCTGGGTTTATTTGTGCGTTTTGGCATAGTTAGGGTGAGTCAGAAAGATAGATGCAAAAGTATAGGAGTAACTTGTATTAGAAAGGCCGAGTGTGAGCATGCGGAAAGGAAGGCTGATGCAGGAGGGAAGGGAAACGACGGACCGATTCACAGACATTTAGACGTTGAATAGGAAATATTTGAAGAGCTGTCTTTACTTTGACGAGGATCCTTTTGGAATCTTTTCTGCTAGCAGCGTCACTATATCTTACCTTTCACATGTATTATGGGGATGCAGAAGAAGGAGAAGAACTGCCCGCTAACGATGAGGCACAACTGTGCCGCTCGTTCTTGTACATCAGCAAAGATTCAGCTAGTGGCATGAGCCAGACAATTACAACGATCAGGAAAAACTGACTGACCACTTAAACGCAGCTGTAGGGTAAGGTGCGGACGAGCGTCCTCAGCGCTCACTGGAGTGTTAGTTGATTATCCTCCAGCATGTTGTTGCACAATGCTGCGGAGATTTAACAGTGATTCACGATCGGAACAAGTCTGGAACCAGCGTAGGCGACGATTTTGAGCAAGCACTTCGATGCTATCGAGAGACCCACATGACCAAGAGCGTGAGTGACAACTAGACATCAAGGCCATGCCGTGTTGACGAGTGCTGATCATTGAATCAAAGTGGCAAGCATTTCGCCAGCGAGAAGCGCTTGGTGTTGAAAACGCCAGCACTAGTGCTGACAGGATTCGTAGCCTTGACAACCAACGGCCTCAAGGGAATAAGGCCGCGAATGGCGCCGTGAAACCGGCCAAAAAGAACAAACAAAACAACAAGCACATGACAGATGCTACAGGTCGAATGGCTGCAGCGAGTGAGAAACGGGATCTATCAATGGAAGAGAACAACAACGGGATGCTTTCCATTATCCCACTGGACGGTTTGGAGACGGATGCATTGGAGTACGTCCAGTTGCGTCGTGTAGCGCTGCTGATGATGGCTCGTACTGCTTACAAGGTACCGAGCAGAAGGCTGCGATGCTCATGCTACTGGAAGTACTGCGGAGTAGATGAACAAACTTGTCCTTTAGTGCAATGACACTAGTTCGTGTTTTATTTTCTGCATTGCCGTTAAGGATTGCCGCAGCTTAGAGTGCAGATTTGAGCCCTGGATTGTCGCCATCACTGCTAGTACGTCATCGAACGTAAGCTCATCTGGAGCCGCGGAATACACTTCTTCCTCCTCTTCGTCAATACTAAATCCATCAGCCGTTTTACCATACCACCCAGCATGTTGTGCACGATAATGCAATCTTTCCACACAAAGAGCAGCAAAGCTTCGTCATAAAGCCGGAAAGGCTGTGATAGAATGGCAAAAGGCCCTTTAAGCACTCCAAAACATCGTCTTACGTCCATGTGAGCTGCTGCTTGCTCTCTTACGAATTCGTTTTTTTTCTTTTGCATTTGCAGGATGGCTAATTAGCTTCACAAACACCGATCACTCTGGATAAATTCGTTAATCAACTAGCAGCACATGTTCAAGCATGTTTTCGCTACACCACACTCGTGGTTAGGCGCATGACCACCAAACCAAATGATAATGAGTGAAGGGCGATCAAGAACATTGATATCATTATTAGAGCCGGTAACACCCATAAATGGTGCTATACCCACAACTCTCGAGTTGCCAAGGCCTCCATGATCACGGACGAGTTTCCAATCTTGTCCTGATACATTCCCTGCCAGCTGACCGGGGGGGGGCTTCCAGACCCTCGTATCTCATTAGGCCAATATGAATCGCTGGATGCTCCTCTGCAATACAGCGGGTGCAGAAATTGAGCGTTCGTTCTCTTCATGGCTACATTTAAAAAAAACCTCCTTTTTCCTATTCGGGCTCGTTTGACGCCAACGTGGTACTCGAACGCGCCAAAATGTCAGGCACGAGGACATTAGAGAAAGCGCCGATTCTTAATGTTTCACCAATCAGCGCTAAATTAGAAGTAGTGGCGCAGATAGTGATCGCCCCCTGTCCACAAATGGCAGAACATATTGAAATTTGTGACGATACATGATGTTTCTCGAATGTTGCAGCAATTTGTATGGAAAAGCTCTATCGTAATCACGCCGCTCGCATCACGTCGGGTGTGAGCTCGGCAGTTTTTCATTCTTAATCCTTCCTTATCAAGCATCAATGGGGTCTTAGCGTCATCAGCGGTCCCACCACATGCGGCTTCTGTGCGTACAGAAGCACCGAAGCGGTCTGGGCTACACTACTTTTGGAAAACTTTTGAACCTCCCGAGAAGTACTTCGTTTCATTGTCGCCCACTTCAACAAGCATGGACATGTGAAGCTAACAGCTCGGCCTGGTCGGAAAAAGGTCACGGAAGCCCGCCACGACCGCCGTATCGTCCGCGCTGCTGAAGCGAATAGCTTTATCAGCGCGGCGAAGCTGGCTGCTCCAGTGAGTGATTAGGCTAAGAAGGCAGTTTTACCTAGTACAATTCAGTCGCGAATCAAGAATAGTGGTCTCAATAGGCGCTCGGTCAGGAAGAAGCCCTATCTGTCCAAGAGCCACCGCAAGCTACGTCTCGCTTACGTTCGCAAATACGGTTATTGCGCGGGGTGGGGGGGGGGCTGGGACGACGTCGGCCTCACGAAAGCGGCCCGAGTGGATCTGCATGGGGCTTCAGGTCGTGTGTTGGTGTGACGTCCAATCCACGAAGTCTTCGCCGATCGTGTCGTAGCTCCTACGTTTAAAAACGGCCGGTAATCGGTCATGTTTTGGGGCTCTATCTTCGGCAATGGAGTTGGACCTCTTCACATGTGCGCAGAGGCGATGGACGGTAAGTTTTACCGCCGCATTTTGCGCTCGCAAATTTCATTGACGAGAGCTATAAACGATCTTTCTACCCCGACACAGTTTGTGCACGATAACGCACCGGCACACTGTGCTAAAGCTGCAACCAAGTGTCTGAAGAAGCTCAAGCTACCAGCTTCAGCCATCCTTCGCAAAACCCGGACTTGAGCTCCATCAAAACCTTCTGGACGGAGATGAAGCTCGAGCTCAACAGGTCCCCGGCATCTTCGCTTTGGGACCTAAAGGTGAAATTGCGGAGCATTTGGTCTTCCATTGATGAAGATCTAGTGCGTAAGACCGTTCGCTCAATGCACAAGCGCCTTGATGCAGTAAAGGAAGCTCGGGGTGGCCACACGAAGTATTGAGCTAGCATAGCTTCAATCTTGAATGACTAGCTTTTTGTAAAGGGATGTATCTTATTAGGAGGGGGCGATCACTTTCTGCGCCCCCAATTTCAGTTTTACGTTGATAACTACTAGAGACCAATACTAATGCGCTACCCCGTTGGCACTCTAGCTGTTCTCTCCACGTGGTATACGCCCAAACTAATCTTTCTCCAAACGGACTTCCGGAGCTTAAACATTTAGCCATGGAGAGGGGGTCGGGGAAGGGGGGGCGCTCATTTCCTGCACCAGCTATACAGTGGTAAAATTTGCCAGCAAGCTCTACTCGTTGGAGATATTCTTTCGCTTCTTTTCCTTTGAACTTTTGACGCGACATCGCCCGTTGTTAGCCTTCGTGAGCGTTGGGTCATCAAGCACACGCCATAGCCCTTTTTTTACAACCATAGCGTGCCCCGAGGTACCTCTAGCTCTGATTTGGCCTTTTGATTGCTTCATTGTGGGTGATCTCTCCACACCTTCAGCTTAGCGATCCTGGCAGTGATGTCTACCTGTGAGCTCTTCTTCTTCGGAATCAAGACGTCACGGGCCACGTTAAAATCAACCCTCCAATAAGGTGGATTTTAACGTGGCCCGTGACGTCTTGATTCTTTTGACATCTAGCTCTTCTACAGCGGCCTCGTGTGAGATGTTACGCTTTTATGCGTAGATCTCAATAGCCTCATCGAATGCTTTGCGGTGGGAGATATTTCGGTTATCAGTTGCTCTGCTCGTTACTTGCTCCCGAATCGTCTCTCAGCTTCTTGTACCGATATTTAACCCCACTACTGCGATTGTATTGGATCTACAGCTCAACAATAGCTTGCAGCGATCAACTAAGACGCAGCACGAGCCTCGTGTCTGCGTCAGAATTATTTGATGCTGTCTCTTTACTTAGCTTGAACCTAGATGGTTTCGGAAACTTGGGTTTCTTGGTCCGCTTCGACAACCGAAATAACAGTATTATTGCTAGCTGCTACTACACCCTGCGCTTTTATTTCGCGCACTTCTGATGTGAGAGTGTCGATTTTACTATGCAGAGCCTTGAACCCCGCGTCCAATGTTGATGCAACCAACGGCACAGCTGCTTAAGTCGCCGATCCTGAGGCTGGTCTGCTGACAGCGACTGCACTAGTTCCGATTCAAATTCCGTGTATTGGCTGGAGGTAAATAGCGGCTCTTGCCGTATTCGATGACTGGGAAACAACTTGCACAACAGAACTGAGACCTGAAGAAAAACAACCCGAAGGTCGTGAAGCAGTCCCATAAATCCACTAGCAGCGATATCATTCCTACCGGACTTATGTAGCACAGTGTCGGTTAGATTCAAACCAGAAAACACTTTGTAATGTAGCATGGATGTGATCGCAGCGCAGGCGAGCCAATAACCGCCGCCCTTGGCTGGAAATCCAGCAGGAGCTCGCATTGCCTTCCATATCTGACTCTCAGTATGCGTTTTACGATAGTATGCATTATCGGCGAACACAGCATTAGTTGGCTTTTACATACTGCGGAAATTATAGTTCTGCGTGGACGCACGCAAATCGCAGGTCTGGGGCCACAATTGACAAAAATTTGATAAGACGTTGTGGTGGATGAAACAGTGAGCGTATGGAGCACTGCTGTCTTACTACATTGCTTCGGTTCGAGCATAGTTTCAGTTCAGTTGGTCGATTGATAGAAGTGTTCTGAGAGTGAATGATCGTAGTAACGGACATTCAAGAGGCACCGCTAGCAAGAAACCGATACCGAAAGGGCAGGCTACAGCGATCCTTTAAGGCAAGAGCGACCCTTCAGCACATAATCATAGTATGCCTTCTTCAGATTACCAAAACAGCTATTCTGAGAAAACGCATATTAAGCGGAGATAATACGTATTTTGAATGGTCGTGTTCGTTCGGCATACTACATATTATGGGCTAGATAATACGTTTTATGTGCTCAACGAACACGGCCTTAAGCCTTGAGTAGAAAATTTTTCTTTCAGCACACGAATATTATACCTCTGTAACGAGTCTCGGGACGCCTGCTTGAAGGCGGGTCGCACCGCTCACTACCACCGTCTGCCGGTGAGCTGCCAGGCTCCTGAGGCTTGCGCACACGCAACACCCCGTCGCTCTCTTCACTCACAACTCTCGCTTGGTGTCCCGACGGCTCCGTACACTGACACGAGACGGCTCTATCCGTCCAGTACCCACACTCGCTTGCTCTCCTCCACCCTGCCCGGACTCACAATGACCTACAAGTCCTTGGTCATGCGCTCCGCGATGTACACACCCTTGCTCATACTCGATCCGCCTGTGCCTCACGGATCCAATTCGAAAGTGAGCCCGAGCCGCCGCTAGCAGCTCAGATCCGTCACGCATTTCCAAACTCCCAGTCGACTCGCTGAACAGATCTCCTGCAGTGCCACATATCGTTGTCTTGGGGAACAATAACACCCCGTCTCCGTGTCCCTTGGTCTGACTGAGCTCGAACCACACACACTGTACCCATCGCCTACGTGTCAGTGGCGTACCCCATACAGCTGTGGGTACAGTGATACTTCGGGGTACGCGAGTCACAATCCCTCGCCTTCAACACGGATCCTATCGTATTGGTACGAACATGTCTGGCTTCGCCTCCTCCGCGAAAGCTCTGACCGCGTTACACGGCTAGCTCCAGATGCTTCACTTTAGCAACATTAATCTGCACGGTTCCTTGCAATAGTGCCCTTTTAAACCACTGTCTTCGATCGGTGAAATCAGGAAACGGCTCTAGCTTCTCATGCCATCGCCAAAACAAATACATCGAGACGGCATTTAATAAGAATAACAGCGTGTACAGGCAGCGCATTGCAGCCCTTTATTCTACACGACCCGCTTGGTTAGTTTTCCTTTTTGCATTGTCACAACGAGCGGCTTGCAAACTTGGGGACCTTCGTCAGAAAGGGTGAGAGATAACATGGCAGGATATTGCATAAATCGCCTCGCCTCCCCACGAGCCAAAAGCGCGTGGCAGATTAAGAAGTCTACGCGGCTCCTTAGTAAAACAGTGGTGCTCTGAATAGCTAAATAAGGCTGAGTGCCTTCATGTCCTCAATCTGCGATCTGGATACATGTCAATTTTTGCGCTTGTGCTCACTTCGATTCAGCATATCCATCAAGCCTTTCAGCGTTTTACCTCTTGAGTGTGGGTGCTGGTTCATGTTTATGGACTTCTGAAACTGGTACAGATTAATGCCTGTCTTGACGTACGCGTCAACAGCCTCGTAACCAAGGCTGATCCGACTTCCGTCCCTCGCCTTTTCCTTTTCTTGCAACATGGTACAACGAAGCTATCGAGATAATCTACCAACTTTAATTCGTTTACAGCAGAGCCGTCCAGAAATTCTTTGCAAGCGCATCACTTGCTAGAGTCGTCCTGCTTGCTCTTGTACTGTTTTATCGTGTCTACAGGCCGAGATGCGGCGTGGCGGGCCATCACTCGTTCGACAGCTTGCTGAAGTCCCTCTACATTCGACGCATCTACTGATCTATTGTCGGTCATGTTGGGTTTCTGAGAGCTGCAGCTGGAATGGGGGAGAAAAGGATTGTGGTAACAGGTCGCCACAATCGGCGGGAATGTATTCGTTTCAATAGATAGAACCTGGCCGTTGAATACGCGCGAAATACTTAGAAATACGTATGGTTTTTTTTCGGTGGGATCGTCAGACCTGGTAGTAGGTCTGGACTCCAGACCTACTGGTAGATGCTGTACAGTTTGTGCTCAACGGGGTTCTACGATGTACTCAGAGAATGTGCTACTGTCGCTGAGCAGCACGAACGGATGCTGTTGTGAGTATAAGATATGGCATAGAAGCCACGATAGAATCTATCAAAGATGGCTTAGAGCGACCTAATATTGCAGAACAGCAACTTGAAGTGCTCGCCCTACTAAATGAGAAAAACGTGAGAAAAATGAAGTAAATATTTCTAATAGGGGTTATCACGGTTGGAAAGAATGTTTGACCGACCAATCAAATCAAATCTTCGCGTCACTTTTTTTTTTTCAACTCAAACCATCCTTGAAAAAGTGGAAGGTTGCAAACCACCAGCGAAGGTAAGCTTTGATTGTTGGGAAACCATGCCAGAAGGTTTGATTTAAATATATGTAGCTCCAGCTTCACTTTTTTGCACGGTTTTGGGCCTCGCAGCGGACGGATGAAGGATTAACTTTTTTTGGCTGGCCAAACATGCTTACCCCTAATACTATTAGGCTAATAGGGGTCGCTTTCTAAAATAAGAGACATTTTAAAAATGATAATTTGCCGATACGAGTGGGATTGTATTCAGGCATTCCGAAATAATCATTGTATTGCTGCTTCAATACAATAGTTTACACTTAATTATTGATTTTTACAAATTGGATGACTTTGTCCAATTAGTTATTTTGTATTTACAACAAAGTACTTTATTTTTTTCGTAAAATCTAGTTTTCTTTGCTTTGTTTTGCGTAAATACGGAGCTCGGTCTCCAGATGGCTGTTAGCAACGGTCGCTCAAAACGCGAACCTGAGGCGCTCGTCTATCATTTTTGATCTCACCATGGCTCTCGCCAACACCTTCACGACCAAGCACGTCTGCAGCTACTTTTTTACTGCCAGCTTGGCGACTTCCAGTCGGCCACCATGAAGCTTCAAGACGACAACGTAACGCTTCTCGATGTGCGCGATATCTTTGATGCGCTCATCGAGAAGCATTCCGTTGTGAAAAAGTATCTTGCTGCCGACGCAAATACGTGGACTTCGAGCGAGCGTGCGTTGTAGCCCTGTCAGGCGCCGTGGACGAGCTGACGAACGACCAGGAGCTGATGTTGCAGCCATTTGAGACGGTACCCGCAATTACGACACCGGACACCAGGCACGGACGCCCACAGGGCTTTGCCGACAGAGTCTTGGCGACTAGAAAAAAGCGGCGCGGTGCAAAGAAGATATTTGATGGTGTGCTTTTCATCCCGCCGACGTCAAACACCGTGGAGCGTCTTTTTAGTGTGGCGAAACATACTCTTTTCCACCATCGCCAGCGTATGCTGCCTATTCACCTTGAAACCGTGTTGTTCCTGAAGATGAATCGGCGTTTCTGGGACGCAAACACTGTAGCAGCTATCGTGAACGCAAAGTAATGTGCAGTGCTGTACATCTAAGTAGTTAATTTTCCAATACACTACTATTGATGTCAATTATTTATTTCTTAAGCTGTAGTTTTTGTAGCAATAGCTTATTTTGGCATGGACCTTCAATATGATTGCAATTGTATTATCGGAATGCCTGATTGTATTACGTAAGACGCTTCAATCGCACCAAGACCTTCATGCTGATGAGCAGCGAACCTGGCCAAGTGCATCGTCGACACGAAGACAGCTCTTGCAAGAAGTATGAGTGAGGCCGCTCGACCGCCAGTACCACCGTTCACGCGCGAGACCGCAGCCCTGAAGGTGCGAGCTGCTGAAGACGCCTGGAACTCGCGCGATCCGAAGCGGGTCGCCCTCGCCTACACTATTGACAGCGCGTGGCGCAACCGTTCCGAGTTCATCAGCGGACGCGCGGAAATTGAGGATTTCTTGACTCGTAAATGGGCACAGGAGTCGCAATATCGGCTCATCAAGGAGCTATTTGCCTTTGACGGCAACAGGATTGCTGTGCGGTTTGCGTACGAGTGGCTGGACGCTGAGCAACAGCAATGGTACTGCGCGTACGGCAATGAGAACTGGGAGTTCGACGCTCAGGGCTACATGGCCAAGCGCTTCGCCTGCATCAACGACGTCCCGATCGGCGAGAAGGATCGTCACTTCCACTGGCCGCAGGGCCGCCGGCCTGACAACTGTTGAAGGAATGATTTGCGCAGAGTTGTTAGGGCAGTACAGAACTGAATGAGGACAAAGGTAGAGAGGATTAGGCGGCCATAGTGAAGAGGAAGTCTTGAGTGTAGAAGGAGAAGACGCTTGTGGTGGACTTGGTAAAAGAAGAAGAGCATGTGGTGGACTCGGTAAAAGAAGAAGTAAGATTAATGTTTAAGAAAGTAGCGGGCTACTAACAAGAAATTAGTATGCGGCATTCAGAAACATAGTCTAGAATTGCCGCTACCATTCATCGTACTAAAATGTTCCAGACATTTTAGTACATTATTTATTAGAGTCAAAAATACCGTGTCTCTTCATTACTAGTTTATAGAGAGCACGATGGAGAGGCGGTCCCTGTGACGGGCCCTAACCTCAACAGCCTCCCTGGATCGACATCAGGGAACGTCATTGGATAATATAATACACGTGTTTTGATTGGTCTACGAAAACCCTGTTAAAAATGTTCAGTCAATTTACAAAATGGCTACACGAATTCGTGTTTTATGCGTTTCTGAAGCTCCTAGAGGCCCTACAGCCAAACGGAGACCGGATTTGGACTCTACTCGCCAGGGCAGTTTTCTGGGGAGGTGGAGTCCAAATCGCCATTTGGCCACTTGTGCACCAGGTGGCATACTGAAAAATGACTCGAAAGTTCAAAACGAATTAGTTTTGACAGTGATAGGTTTTGAGAGTACACTTGTATTGAAGTTAATAGCAGTTACAACAAGTGGCCATCTTATCGGTCGTGTATGTTAACTTAGAGAAGCTCAATGCCATCAGAATCGGCCCACATGACGGACAGCCTTGAATTTAGTAGAGACGACAAACGCAGATGATGCTGGGACGGCATAAGGTCTTATTCTATGGTCCGGCGCGCGGTATAGGATCAATCAGCAGCTCGGGGGCTCATCGAGCTGATCTCGTAGTCTCACATCACAATTTACACTCTACTGTCACCGCACCAGCCACACGCACGTCAAGGACACGCACGTCAAGGCCACGACACCAACAAATTTCGGTGCTTCAACAGCCAGCTTTGGGTATTGCAACGCTTCATTCTCGCTCAGTCGGCGTCATTCAGGATACTTGTGGAGACCAGGCAGATTGGCTCGAGGCTCAGTTATTTAACGCCAGCTTTGAGGATCATGTCTCGGTCGGCGCAGGTGGCCCGGATGGACCCTACTATCGCCGTGCATCTCATTACAATGGCTGCCCCAAAGTAGTTACCTTCGACTACGATTTCTTTATATGAAATAGTACAGTTATATTTCACTAGATAGTCATCATCACATCGGAGATGCTTACTTCGACAGCCTCCCACATCGAGGAATGTGTATGATGCTCTATCTGTCGGATAGCTACCACAGGTGGCTGTTATAGCAGTCCTGTACGTACATGAGCATTTACAAGAAGTAGATCTTGTTTTGATATTGATGATCTTTTTCCTTTGACTTTTATTGTCAGATTTGTCGCCTTGTGCTGTTTTGCTTTGGCAATAACTGTGCTGATTTCTTGTTTTCATTGTTATTTTGGCTACTCAGGAAAACCTTAGAGGATTAAACCTGTTCACCGTAGTGATTGTTGTTGCTATCGTTTTAGTTATACGAATTTGTAGCAGCTACTTCAGGGAAACCTTTAATTTTAAGGATCAAAACCTGTTCACTGAATTGTTGCTGTTATCGTTTTAGCTTTACGAATTTGTAGAAGCTACCTCAGGAAAACCTTTAATTTTAAGGATCAAAACCTGTTCGCTCTGTTGTTGGCTACTCAGGAAACCTTTGAGGATACACCTGATCACCGTATTTATCTTTATATATTTTGTGTAAGCGTTTTAGCTTTGTTCATTTCTTAAACTGCCATTGTTTTGCTCTTTCATATGTGGATATTTCTATACAATGTGTGGTTTGTTTTTTGTTTTTCGCTGCTGAGGTCTTATCGAATTGCCTCCCAGTTTCATGAAATGGTTGATATAGGTGCTGCAGTCATTTTCAATTTGTTCTGACTATTATTATTGAGAGCTTATAGTTTTCAAATATTTTTGAAGAAAGGCTACAGCTTTCAAAGCATAAAAACATCTAACAGTGTCATCGGTAGTGTACGCATCTTGTTTGCAGGCTCTCATCGTTGGGGCTATTTTTCTCCCTAGAGGCTCATGGAGTTGTTTCTCATTTCGAAGATTTTTATTTTGTTTATACTTCGCAAGTGCAAGCAATAGGTTTGTAAACTATCGATTCCATTGAAAATGAAACTAATGCAGTAAAACTATAGTTGCTTTCTGTAGACAGAGGCTTGTGTAGGCTTGTCTTAAAGTCATAAAGTATTGAAGATTTTTTCTTTATGCTGGAAATGTTTGAAACTTTTGCCGCAATAATTTTTTTTTTTAAGTTTGGCGAATTGAATGAATTGTTTTGGCGTTGTTGCCTCCCAGTTTCATACATTTCTGGGCGTATTTCTTAACTTGGTTAAATACCAGACACATGTTTGTATGGACAATTGCCCATTTTTATTTTATCTCTTTCTTGTTTTTTTTAAGGTATATTTTTATTTTACAGGTCCAAAATGTAGTGGATTACCTGTTCTCAACAAGCCGTAGATCTGCATTTAGTAGACTGCTGCAGCTTTGCATTAAGCGAGGTTTTAGCTGTGCCATTCCTCCTTGTAGCTCGAGATGCACAATTTTTAAAATGGTATTTCATTAAGTACACATATACTAGTAGTAAATACACAGCTTGTAGCTGGAATAATTTTTGCACAGCTTTATAGCTCGCAAGTGGGGCATTTGGCCTCCCAGTATGGCGTGACACTACAGCAATGCTGCTGGTGCGTGAGGGCGGTATTTAGTTCTTCGCCTTAAATATGTACTACATGTACTTGTACATCATCAAATGCATGTACGTGTATGTGTACGTGTACGTGTACGTGTATGTGTACGTGTACGCGTACATGTACGTAGAGCACAAGGCACTGTGGCCTTCTAGTACGGCTTTTCAACCAGACAGCGCTATGGCTGGTCTGGCATCATGGCCTCACAACTCGGCAATGGCCGGTGTGGCACGGAATGTATGTGTCTCGTGCGGCGCTACAGCTCCATGGCTGGCGCGGGGGTTTCATGACCTCCCAGCATGGCGAATAACTACGCATGCTGTGCTACAGCACAGTGGCTGGAGCCAAGTTGGCAACGTGGCCTCACGCGAGTTGGTGTCCGTCGGGCGATTTTCTCTCCGATCTCCTTCATGAGCCTTGGGGCTTGGAGGCGCATCGTCTTGCCGCTTTCAGCTCGTCAGTACCCTGGCGAAGCGTTGGGCTGATAACCTGTTGAAGGAATGATTTGCGCAGAGTTGTTAGGGCAGTACAGAACTGAATGAGGACAAAGGTAGAGAGGATTAGGCGGCCATAGTGAAGAGGAAGTCTTGAGTGTAGAAGGAGAAGACGCTTGTGGTGGACTTGGTAAAAGAAGAAGAGCATGTGGTGGACTCGGTAAAAGAAGAAGTAAGATTAATGTTTAAGAAAGTAGCGGGCTACTAACAAGAAATTAGTATGCGGCATTCAGAAACATAGTCTAGAATTGCCGCTACCATTCATCGTACTAAAATGTTCCAGACATTTTAGTACATTATTTATTAGAGTCAAAAATACCGTGTCTCTTCATTACTAGTTTATAGAGAGCACGATGGAGAGGCGGTCCCTGTGACGGGCCCTAACCTCAACAACAACCATCCTGGACTTAGCGAGCTCGGGCTCTAGGTCGCCATCGGAGATTGTCATGCCAGTTGCAACAAGCTGTCACCGCCATGTCCCGAACTTCTGATTTCGAAGATCCGTTTCGCCGAGTACATCTAATAGCGAAGCCTTCGTTTGGCCGAAGGAGCATAGCGTAAGCAAAAATGCATCCATGGTTGTCACTTTACAATGAGCCCTATGCGACTTTGATGATGGATCAGGGTGACCATCACTCCGCTTCTAAAAATAGCTATTTGAGGCCAATCACCTTGCCCCAACCCAATCTTCAAAGGTATTTTTGCCCAATCTGAGAAGCGGAAGAGGCTCCAAATTCGAAAGCGGCCCATAGCAAAAAAAGCCGAAGAAGCGCAAGGAAGAAGAAGAATTTTCTGTGTGCGCTTTGCCTCTCTACAGAGCTCGCTCTCAAGCCTAGACAGAGAGCACCAGCGCATCAAGAAAGACATGGCTACCATATACAGCGGCGCGCCCTCTACCTCGCGCTTCCCGTTCTCCACACACACACATTACACGTCCAACGCTGACGCCCCCGCACAGGTTCAAATGCACCAGTTCCGGTATGGTAGCTACGCGATGGAAAGTCAGATGGAGGTCTCGTCACCGCCTTCCTTAGCGCCGCCGGGCGCCACACTCGGCCTACTGAGCAAGCAGCACATGTACGCCGAATCTAACGCCGTGCGCCTGCCATCGCCCATGTACAGCAGTCAGCAGAACGCGTCGACCACGATGAATATGCAGTCTATGATGAGAAAGATGTATCAGCCGCAGCAGCCTCATCCTCCTCCCATGGATATTCCCCAGCAGCAGACCGAAGTGTTGCATGTGTCGCCTGGCGTCCCTACGCCGGTAGAGCTGTCTATTTATGAGATCAAGCAGCCAACAGGATTATTACACGTGACCGTCGGCAATCAGACTGTCGAGTTTCTCGATGGGGTAGCCAACATGCCGCAGAAGCGGTAGATGCATACTGTGTAAAACGTGACAGCATCCCGCGACTAAAAGACGGGCCGTGTTCCCTCTTCCATCCAGTATACGAGTCACCAAGTTGTGAATGGACGCCCTCTTCTGATAAGAACGATCCCCAGTGCTGCTACCACCCCAAGAACCAGTCTCCAGAGCAAGCGTCGCAAGGCAAGACAAACAAGGTGGTGGAGTACTATAGAAACTCTTCTCGTCTGTGTCGTCGTGGTGTATTGCGTCAAGTTTTAAGCCAAGCCAGCCAGAGGCAGCTGGTTTTCTTTTGTGTGTATTTTATCGGCAGCTCCAACCATTTTTTAGCTGTCGTCAACGCCTGTACTTCTTCATTCTCCTCCATTTCCACGAGCTTTTTCAGTTTAATCCCAAGAAGACAAAAACAGTTTAGCTTTTTCGCATACGTGTTATGTCTACAGTATCTCTCTCTACCCGTTCGAGGCAACTTCCACCACTTTATTCCTGGTTTGGCTCCGGTTGGATTGAAGCAGCAGTGACCTTCGGCTGAGGCGTCGGGACCGATATTCCTCGTGCTTTCAGGCGGGTGGCAATCGTCCCGTGTTCAAGCACTAGGCCCCCCACTTCAGCATCGTCTTCGAAGATAAGGATGCCGTCGCTCTCGTCCGTCAGTCCAAGCTCCGCCTCCGAGCAGATCATGCCTTGAGAGACTTCTCCACGCAGTTTGGACTTCTTGATCTTGAGCTTCTTTCTGCATCCCACATCCACGCAACGTTAGCAAGGTATTGGTAATACATGTATGATGCCAACGTACAGCTCGCCTGTCTCGGGCTCCTTGATGGCCAACCTGGTTCCCACTTTTGCCACGGGCACACGCGCACCTTGACGTACGTTAGGGGCGCCACATATGATCTGCAGCAAATTATCCTTGTCGCCGATGTTGACGGCACAAACGTTCAGACGGTCCGCCTGAGGGTGCGAGTGGAAGTCTACAATCTCGCCAACCACCAGAGTGTTCCATGTCGTCTCCACCACCGGCTGCTGCTGTTGCGGCACTGTCTTCTTTTCTATAACTGCGGTCACCTCTTCACCGGAAGCACTAGTAGAGCTGGAGGCCAGAAACTGGCTGCGGAGGCCACGCAGCACCCTCGCGCGTGGCTGCGCGCGAGACAGCAGTGAAAGCATTGTTGCCAATGGGATGCTGTGAATTGAGAGGATAAAAACCTTTTGAAATTGATTACTCTCGATCACCGAAAAATGAGGGTCAAGTTCAAGGTTATCGTAGGGACGACAGAAGACCATGTCTTTGCCTAAGCGCGCGCGAAAGTTCGGCCAGTGATGGTCTTCTTCTGGGTCTTGGACTGGTCCTTTTCGGGACGCGCACGGTTCAAGACTACGACAAGCAGCAAGGTGAGCCCGTTAGTCAAATGGACGCGACGAAACAAATCCGCATCAACTTATTATACCTTGGAGCAGCAGATCCACACGCTTTCGCATACGAATGTGCAGGTACGTCTTAGAGGCCTTGATGTGATAGTGGAGGTAGTTGCGTAGACCCTGCACCAAAGTCGCCGCCTTGATGCGCTTTTCAGTCGTGTCCACATGCGTGGGGAAGATCGCAAGGCTCAGATAGCCCACGAGGTCAGGCGAATGACGCAATCCTGGGGCTCCACGCAGCTCGAGCGGAGGGTCCTTGCCAAATGCAACAGGTGGCGCATTGTTCACGGTGCGTCGGGTGTCAACAAACTCCTAGGAATCGCAAGCCACATCACGAGTCAGTGTACTGTTGGTACCAAATTCACAAGCAATTAAGCGAGAGTACCTGCAAGAAGACACGAGCGATAGCCTGGTCGGTCTTGTCCTCAAAGCAGACCGAGTACACAACGACGATACGGTCGGCCTGAGGGAGCACGTAAATCGTCTCGTTACGACGGTAAGGGATCTGCACAGGACCAAGGGTGCTCGCATTGCCGTTCTGAAGCGCCTCGAAACACTGCTCAAACGGAGCACCCATAATGTTGCGCTTCAGGATTGAGATGCGCTCAATGAAGGACGCTACATCGAAGACCCCAAACACCAGAATACACGAGTTAGCAAGTTTAGACACGAAAAATAACATTAATCTCAGCAAATACAGCGTCACTACGAACCAGCATTAGCAGGTGTGACCACATCCACATTAACCTGTAGCGAAAAGTCAAATCCGGCTTTCGGGGCGACGACTTGAAATTCTGGGTACCTCGCTGCGAGCATTTGCTTGGCACCCAATCTGTCAAAATTCTAACAAGTCAGAATCGCACTTTGTTACTTCATTCTTCTCAGTTACAGTGTACTCACCCTTCCAGCGTCTTGTAGGGCGGATATGCCATGGAGACAGTAAGGAGGTTGTCTGCGATCGACATGTCATACTGCACATCTGCACAAATTCAAGGACGACGTCAGAACGCTTCTCTTTTCAACTCTAAGTTGAAGAACGTATCTCGTCTCCATCTCCTGAAACTCACCGTCAAAATCGCACAGACGGATCTCCAAGGGCTGTACGGGGCGAGGCGCTCTGTAGCAGTGTTTAAACGGGCAAAAGTCAGCGAGACAAGAGCAGGAACGTGATAGCTAGCTCAGTGTTGTCTCCAGTACGGGCACACATACTTCTCCCCCAGACGGCCTTCCAGCACCTCCTTAATGATCTTGTTCTCCGACTCAAGGAACAGCATCGCGCCTGCACTCAGTTCCCAGATTGCGAAAATGCCATCACCTCCCGGCATGACGACGGGTACCGTAATCATGGTACACATGCATTGAAGCTTCACAGTCGCAGACTCAGATATTCTCAGATTTAAAAGCGCTTTTAACCAATCATGTATCGCCATAAAGAAACCGTTTGGGGTGTACAATCCGTCACATCCCGACCTGCTCCTCCTTGTCAAGATGTCGACGCGCCCTCCGCTGCCATCTTCCACATCGTCTATGAGCCTCGTGAGCGGCCCCGGGGAGCTCGAGTATGGTGTCTACGGCCGCGTTCTGTTCTGTGGTCAGCTGGAAAAACGCCGCGATGGTGCCGTTCGCGGAGGCTGGGCCTCGCGTCTTTTCGTCCTCACACCCGAGACTCTGCACTACTACCGCAAGGCCACTGAGTTCGAGCTGCTGGGAGAGGAACGTGGCCACGTACGTAGCGCAAAAACTACTTGAAGATCGGATCCGTTGCATGCTATTGCAGCTAAAGGGGATATGTGTTTTACGCACCTAACAGATAGCATTGTCCTCCATCACGAGGGTGCGTGCCATGCCGGAGGATGAAGCGCCCTACTCGACAGTAGAGCCGGGAGTAGAGCATTACTACCTCGAGATCTGCACGGTTAGTATAGAACAATGCGCTGAATCTATGGGGATACTTTGATGCTAATTGTCTTGGAATGTACAGGAAGACCGGCTGTATCTTATGCGGACGCCGATTCGCGAGGCGTCGACGTGCGAGAGCTGGTCAATCGCTATTGAAGAGCAGCGCAAGGTGCTTCGTTCGGGGAAGGCGAATAAACGTGAGTGCCCTTCGAGCTCTGTCCCTTTCCCGGAGGCTCTACCCAGCCCCACCTTGTTAGCACGCAACCATGAACTTTTCTCCCATTTCGTAAGTTGGTCGTCTTACGGCGCCTGTCTTGGATCTGTTCACTAGAGTATAAAAGCGTGCTCCTGTTTGCGAACGAACAGGAAGCGTCGCCGCCGCGGGTGGCCATGATCTCGGTCGTGCACGTGAGCGAGCGGGACGGATGCCCAGCTGAGAAGGTGATTAAGCGACGGACCGAGTGGGGCGAGAAGCTGGACCTCGGTGTGATTCCGCAGGGAGGAGCATGCGTCATTCTTCTTCAGGATGGGGGTCTCGGCCGGATCGGTACACAAGCTCTCATGAGCAGCTGGGATTCGGGTCGGGTCTGCTGGATTGAAGTCACAGATGCCGACGTCCCTACCGAGATCGAAGTTTCGGTAACATGTAAGGTGTTATCACAAGAAGCCAGGTTGAGGTCTCCCAAAACTTTAAACACCCACGAAGGACTACCAAAGTGGGTCGAGTGGGTGGACGAAGGCTCCAGTATTGGTTTTCTGATGATGTGCCTTTTCGTCCACCTGCTATACGGCGTTGACGGCTTTCACTGGTCACACAAGTGCTGCCTCACAGTTGGAGCCGCGCTCGCCATCTCAACTATTCTCAACGGATCTACGAGAACCCCACCGACACCAACACCAACGCCCAGGCACTCTAGTCCCACCAATCTACTCCCAAAGCTGCAGTTCACTCTCACTGTCCATCGCTGCCGGATAAAAATGGAAGGCACGGAGTACATTTACCCTCAGACGAGCGACAACAAGAAGTAGACCGCTCCGCTCCGTACTCGTTGTACACATGTACTTCAAGTACTCAATCAAACGCCAACGTGGAAGCGACTTAGAAGAGAACGAAGCAGCTTCAAAATAAATTACTTATCCTACCAATGTCTTCAATACGTGTCGCTTTTTCTAGTATATAAGTTCATCGGCTCTGAGGTCCACGCAATCAATCAGCCGACGACTCGTCCTGTGGCGTGACGAGCTGTGTCCAAGAGAGAAATAACGGCTTGGCGATCTGAGTCAGCGTAGCCCAGCTCAATTAGGCGTTGACTGAACTCCTGCAGAGTCAGCGCGCCACAAGAGAGACTGCTCATTCCAAGCATTACATCCATAAGAATTTCCGGTCGCTTGATCTTGAGTAGAGCAGCACGCTCAATAAGTCCCATCGACGGGAAGGACAACTTCCACAGCTCGCGGAACTTCCGCTCAGCCACCTCGGGATCCTCAACTGGGGGTGCTGCCGTACTCGCTTCGACATTACACGTCTCCATTTGGAACGAACGCGTGCGAGGCGCATCAGGAGGACGACCTGACGTCTCGATTTGCTGCAGCGTGTCAACAACGCCCTCGGATGAACTGCGCTCGCGAAAAAAGCGTTCTCGAGGCGACTGCAGCTCTCGTCGGAACTGCTGGCGCGTACGCTCCTGCTGATTCTGACGCGCGTATTGCTGACGGTGGTTGCTGTTCGTGTACCGCGCGGTTGACGACCCGTTAAATTGCTTCGTTACGCGTTGACTGTATTCCTGAATGTTGCCGGCCTTTCCTACCGAGACGAATACCTCGGCTTCATCCGGCAGTCTTGCGATTTCCTCCACAGTCCGAATAGGCTCACCGTCATCCCGAGAAATGTCAACAATCTGGTTCTCTTTGACACCGAAGCGAATCTTCAGCACGTCCATAATAACCTGCGGCTCCGTTCCCTCAAAGTACGAGATGCACACGGTGCGTCCAAATGTCGACAAACTGTTCACGTTCAAGTGTTTACAACGCTGCATACGAGGCTGAAGACCCTTGCGAGAACGCGGGAGGTTAATCTGCCACAGCCTGCTCACACATACTTGGCACACACGACGAGGTCGCTGCTCGTCTATCACGCCATTACTTGCTGCACTCTTCTCTCGCTCCGGGTTAGCCAGTCGCGTGTTCGTGCACTTACTGCAGAAGGCTTTGCGACAATAACTGCACTTGTGTTTCCACTCCAAGAGCGAGAACATTTTTCGACAACGCGAGCAATTCTCTGTCCTGTTAGAGTGAACTTGCAGCGGTACAGGTCGATCAGGGATCAGATTCTGTAGCATCGTGTCAACCTCGTCGGGAGTGATGCTGTTGCCCTTGTAAAGTCGGAATTCTTCCACCATCAGAGACTTCACGAAGCCTTGGTTCGGATACACGACACCGCGACTAGCCATGGCGAAATTCACAGCTGTGACGAGCGACCAGTTGTTAGCGCGCATTAAATACATGATAACGAGAGTGGCAGAGCGCGAGATGCCCTGCGTACAATGGACCAGCACTCGGCCGTGCTGTGTACGCTTGGCTGACTCGATGAACCTATAAGCGGCGTCGAAGTATGAGCCAATATCTGCCTCCGGTCGGTCCTTAATGGTGACATTAAGATACTTGACGCCGTCGCTCTCGAACGTATTGCCCACATCCAGACTAGCGTTCACGACGTGGGTAATACCCAAATGGGACACCACCTGCTTGGACTGTGCATGCCACATATTGCCAAGAAAGAGGAAACCTTCCAGGATCTCGTTGGGGTAGTTCAGGTTGTGTGTGCCGCTCTTGGTTCGTGTCAGTTGGCCCGAAATCTCGTCCAGTAGTGCCGATGTTGTGTAAAATGGGTAGCGGTACTTGAATGTGACGAAGCCGTCAGACAACAGCTTGACGCTGGTCACGAGACCGTCATCGATGATAAGTTTCTCGAGTTTCCTGAGCCAGCTGCACGTCTTGGACTCGTGGGCGTCGTCACCCGAGGTTTTCTTTACTGCGTCTCCGAATAGAACGACATCGCGCAGTTTCCTCTTCTTGCTGGAGAACAAATATCGCTGCTCTTCAAGCAGTTCGCTCTCTACATCTTCCAACGTCTTGCAGCCCTGCATGGGTGGGATAGAGATAGCTGACGGAATGGAGTCTTCCTCGTACTCTTCTCTGGTCCTTGTGTCGATGAGGATCATGCCACGCGAAGCCTGTACCTGATTGTACAGCCAGCGGCAGTTAACCTCTCCACGACGCACAAGACGCTTGCGAGCTGGTGGCACAGGCTCGCTCTCTTTAGTAGGACAGGCGCTGTCCACGGCGGCATCGTCCTTCGCGACGTCTTCTGCCGCGCTCTTGTTGCTACTGCCAGCGCCGTTGGTCTCGTCGCCCACCGACATTCCACTTCCCAGTTGCTTTTGTTCTGTAGTCGCAGCAATCGTACTTGCACACGTGGTTGTTTGATCGAAGACGCTGCAGGGCTTACCGCCGCGGCGAGATGTCAGCGCTGAGCGGCTAGCGATGGGATAGGAGGTGTTTGTTCCCGACGGCGGCGCTTCTAGCATTCGCTGGCTGCCTTCGTTGCCGCTTCGGTAGGCGAATGCGTTGCTGGGGGACGCCGCGGCGGGGAGGCAAGTGGCAAAGATCCGGAGCCGCGGTCTGGTTCATAACTGCTGGAGTCTACACAACGCAGAGCCCGGACAAAAAGCAACAAGATAGGATGGGGTCAACTTTTCCGGTAAAACCTGATATAGAAAAGGCTAACCGGATATTTTGGATTTAATAAGGAGGTCTCAAAACAAAATGTGACTAATTACTTTCCTTTACAGTCTAATAAAACTCAATTCATCCGACATTCGTTGAGAAAAAAAAAGGAGCAAGTCCCTCTGAAGAAAAGCTCTAAGAATCTCCGGCTCTTAAAATCTGCGGACCTTACATTACGCAAGCTTAATTGTGTGTAGCTTCTTCCTTCACACTAAAGCAACAATGGCAACTGCGCGCTTGTTAGTAACGACTCGTGTAGCGATAACGGTTATTTCCCGCCGGGGTACATGTATGTCGAAGTAAGCATCTCCGATGTGATGATAACTATCTAGTGGAATATAACTGTACTATTTCATATAGAGAAATCGTACATAACTGGACTGGTTGGTGGAGAGTAACTCCCCCACCAGAACACCAGACTCTATAATTCATCACTTCTTCTTTTACCAAGTCCACCACAAGCGTCTTCTCCTTCTACACTCAAGACTCCTCTCCACTATGGCCGCATAGACCACTCTACTTTTGTCCTCACTCCGTACTGTACTGCCCTAACAACTCTGCGCAAATCATCCCTCCAACAGGTTATAAGCCCAACGTTTCGCCAGGGGCGAGCTGGACGCGGCAAGACCACACACCTCCAAGCCGCATGAATGACCAGGGGCACAATGAGGTGAAGGAGACCTGAGAGAGAAATCGCTGGACGGACACTTGCCTGCGTTAGGCCACGTTGCCAACTTTGCGCCAGCCACTGAGCTGTAGCGCTGCATGTGCAATAGATCGCCATGCTGGGAGGCCATGTTGCCCTCTACGCCAGCAAACGAGCTGCACGCGGTGAGCAGCACGTCTGCCACGCGGTATCGAGCCAGAGGAAAATCTCCCTGGACTCCGTACCATACGCACTGCGTATTGAGCCAGAGGAGAATCTCCCTGGACTCCGTACCATACGCACTGCGTATTGAGCCAGAGGAGAATCTCCCTGGACTCCGTACCATACGCACTGCGTATTGAGCCTTACGAAGCAATAACACTTTTTTGCATGAGCAATGTCTCTGTCAATTGACTAAATAGTGTGCATGCTTCTCACTACTTCGAAGTATAATAAAATCCGGAATACAATCCGAAGAGCCACCAGGGAGAAAATTACCCCAAAGCTGTGAGCTAGATAAAATGTGAGTGAAGTGTGCTCCTAATATTGCTTTGGTGCAAGCGTTGCTACCTAGCTGCTCAAAACATATTTATGCCACATTCACAAAAGAAATTTATGAATAAAATCATACATGCAATTTGCAAGATGCAAAAACAAAATTGCAAATTATACAAAGGCTGCCTTGTTTGTACGAGAAAAAAAATAAATATATATACCCCAAACGTTGAGAGAGAAATACTTAATGAAATGTATGAAACTGGGAGGCATCAACGGCAAAAACTATTCATGCATTCGCCAAACTTTAACATTTATTGTCGCTGGCAAAAGTCTCAAACATTTCCAGCATAACAGTACCAAAAGAATAAGAAAAAAAATTCAACACTTTATGACTACAAGACAAGCCTACAGAAGCCTCTGTCTACAGAAAGCAAACTATAGTTTTACTGCATCAATTCCATCTACAATGAATTCGATAGTTAGCAAAATCTATCGCTAGCGCTTGCGAAGTAAAAATAAAATTATAAACTTCCAAACGAGAAACAACTCGATGAGCCTCTAGGGAGAAAAATAACCCCAACGACGAGAGCCTGCACACTTACTGCAAATATGATGCGTACGCTACCGATGACACTGTTTGATGTTATTTATGCTTTTAAAAGCTGTAGCCTTTCTTCAAAAATATTTGAAAACTATAAGCTCTCAATAACAATAGTCAGAACAAATTGAAAATGACTGCAGCACCTATATCAACCATTTCATGAAATTGGGAGGCAATTCTATAAGACCTCAGCAGCGGAAAAACAAAAAACAAACCACACATTGTGAAGAAATATCCACATATGAAAGAGCAAAACAATGGCAGTTTAAGAAATGAACAAAGCTAAAACGCTTACACAAAATATATAAAGATAAATACGGTGATCAGGTGTATCCTCAAAGGTTTCCTGAGTAGCCAACAACAGAGCGAACAGGTTTTGATCCTTAAAATTAAAGGTTTTCCTGAGGTAGCTTCTACAAATTCGTAAAGCTAAAACGATAACAGCAACAATTCAGCGAACAGGTTTTGATCCTTAAAATTAAAGGTTTCCCTGAAGTAGCTGCTACAAATTCATATAACTAAAACGATAGCAACAACAATCACTACGGTGAACAGGTTTAATCCTCTAAGGTTTTCCTGAGTAGCCAAAATAACAATGAAAACAAGAAATCAGCACAGTTATTGCCAAAGCAAAACGGCACAAGGTGACAAATCTGACAATGAAAGTCAAAGGAAAAAGATCATCAATATCAAAACAAGATCTACTTCTTGTAAATGCTCATGTACGTACAGGACTGTTACAAACAGCCACCCGTGGTACATTAAATACTATCCGACAGATAGAGCATCATACACATTCCTCGATGTGGGAGGCTGTCGAAGTAAGCATGATGATAACTATCTAGTGGAATATAACTGTACTATTTCATATAGAGAAATCGTACATAACTGGACTGGTTGGTGGAGAGTAACTCCCCCACCAGAACACCAGACTCTATAATTCATCACTTCTTCTTTTACCAAGTCCACCACAAGCGTCTTCTCCTTCTACACTCAAGACTTCCTCTCCACTATGGCCGCCTAGACCACTCTACTTTTGTCCTCACTCCGTACTGTACTGCCCTAACAACTCTGCGCAAATCATCCCTCCAACAATGTACAATACTGTACTCAGTACATAGGTTAAAGGGACTCTTGCCAAGTGTGCCGGGCACACGCTTGAGACCACCAAGTTGGTGGCAATCACTCCGCCAGTATAAAATGTAATACAGTGCGCAGCACATGCATTTGAACGAGTTTGCTGCACGGCTTGTTTGTTCGAGAGAGCGACTCTTGTCGGAATCCTCCTCGGGTGTGGGTTTTTGGAAACCCGTTTCCGCCCCGCTCACAGACTCTATCGTCTTCATCCACACATTGTGGAAACGTCAACGTTGTCATGTTGACCATCCTGTGAGTCAGTGTGGCCGCCAACCGCGCTCTCTGGTACCGTACTAAGCTTATTAAAACATGTACTTCATACTATTAGAGAGTTTATGATTTCTGTACCGGTGCAGCTTCCATGGATTGCAGCAAGTTGCTGCCAGCAACAGAGAGCACATCCTTTTCAGACCTCAACATGTGTATGCATTACCGGTACCGGTACACGTATTGAGATTCGCGTCAGATTCGCTACTATCTTACGCTTCCGAGTCTAGGAGGTTGTCGCTGCTCAAAGTATCTTACAAGAGGTTTAGCACTATCCGTTTATCACATGACAGAGCACTGGCCGTCCTTGGATGGTTCTGCTGCCAGCTCTATCAACGGAGACGTCCGCCTCTGCAACCTTGCTGGTTGGCTCGGCAGACTGCCGCTCGTCAACAGGTCAAGCTCGCCTTCTGTCACGCTGCACTTGTTGTGGAGCAGTCGCTTCTCCTCTCGCTGCAGTGCACGCAAGAACCCTTCATTCGGGACGACTACGCCGCGGCCTGAGCGCACAAAGTTGAACGCCTGCGCCAACGACCAATGATAAGCTCGCATGACGTACACGATCACTAGCGTCGCTGATCGCGAGATTCCATGCGTGCAGTGTACTAGCACCCGACAGGGTTTGCCGTCCGCAGTCGTCGAGCGCTGAGCTAATGCGATGAACTCGTATGTTGAATTGAAGAACTGCGTGATGTTCGCGTCAGGCTTGTCATCCAGCTTGGCATTGAAGTACTTGACTCCGTCCTTCTCGAAGACGTTGTCCACCTTGCGGGTCGCGTTCACCACATGAGTGATTCCAAGGTCCTGGAATACTTGTTTGCACTGGGCCTGCCACATATTCCCGAGGAATAAAAAATTGTCGACAATTTCATTTGGATACGAAACCTGGTGGTCGCCGCTGTGCAGCACGCCGTCGTCAACGATGCCCACCGGAGTGTAGAACGGGTAGCGCTTGTAAAACTTCATAAACCCCTCGCAGAGCACTTTAATACTGGCAGCTCGTCCTTCGTCAATGAAGAATTGCTCTAGCTTATGCAACCACGACTCCGGGTTCACAACGTCTTCCTCTTCCGCGAAGAGAAGGAAGTCTCGCAGCGAGCGCTTGGCAGACGGTAGTCCTAACTTTTCGATGTACTCGTCGCAGCTGCTGTTTTTGCTGTCCTCCGGTGGTGGCACATTGATGGCCCCCAGCACCGTATTAGTATGGTGCTGTTCGGTCGAGCGGCAGTCGATGAGTACCTCGCCTACGTGGATATTGTTGAATAACCAGCGGCTGTCCACTATCCGCCGTCGCAGTGAGCGCTTCTTGCAGAGGGTGGAGATTGCCTCATTCTTGCAGCTATTCGCTGGTGCCACTTGTCCGAGCTGCGTCTCGCCCATGCCTTGATTGTACTGCTGCAAATTGCTGAAAAATTGTCTTCCACGCAATAGCAATGCTGTCCGAAAGTGCCTGTAGCCGCCACCAAGCGCGCAACTGATACCTACCGAAGTGGTGGCCAGTTTGCCAAGGAGCCGGAACCTACAGTATTACCTACGTGAAAGTATTTTCCACGAAAACCGATCATTCATTTTTGAGCTTCGCCAGCCAATTCCCGCTCGAGGCGACCTGTCGCCGACTACTAAAAGCGTTTTGAAGCCGGATCCAAGCACCACTGTCAGGAGCGATTTGAAATAAATCGCAGATTTCTCAGCGCGCCATTGCCAATGAGTCATTGGCAATGACACCGCAATGCACGTTGCATTTGCAATGCAAGTTGCACGGCGGTTGCATTGCAACCGCCGCTCAAATTTTGACTGTAGTCTTTGCTGGAAAGATGGCTCCATCCGCAGGCCCAGATCGGATCTGAGATCCCTATGCGAAAAGTGGCATGCGCAAGAACTGCCTCTAGAGTCTAGGCTAGAGCCTCAGGCTGCAATCCCACGCATTCCATCTGGCCACCTCGAACCTTTGGTGACTGTTTGCTACACTAGCACACACATAGCTTACCAAGTTACCTGTACATGTACCTGCGCACTATTAATAAGCCTTTCATTCCACGACGCTACGTGCGAAGTTCACGGAATGCCAACGATTTGGTATTTTAGTGAAAAACACTGGCGATCAGAGCCAGACACGCAACTGGTCCGTCTACACCTGACCCGTCACATGCGGCAGTTGTGTACATAAACGACCAAGCCTTCGGCAAATGACAAAAAGCGTGGTTATTTTTACTTACTGCAGAACAGTCATATCTGGCCAGAAAAAAGTCAATTCTGACCCCCCTCGTCTCGTTGGGAAATACCTTTCATTTAGAATATCATCTTAGAAGGAAAAGCCGATTCTTGGGTAGATCGCGCCAATTACACCGTTCACCCTAATAAATAGTGTGACTTTAAATAGTCATGCACGTACTTATAAGAAAGTATACTGTACATACACCATAATTAGTCATACACCACAATTAAACATACACCAAGATTAGGCATGCTGGCAACAGCAGCACCAGCATTCTGTTACTGTACTTTTCATTCGCAACCTCCAAGTGTTTTCTCACTTTAAAACAGGCATGGTAGAAGAAGTGCCGCACAAGCTTCAGCAGGTCGTTCGTCTCTGCGATCGTGTACGGTGTACCGACTGGATGGAGCTGGATCAAGCTCTCCGGGGTTCTAAAGGTATGTATGGTAGAACTATCGACTTCTTTCTTCGCTGTTTCGCTCCTCGGATAGAAGGGTAAACATGAACCAGGCTCACGACTGGTGGAAGAGGCGTGTTGACACAGCTACAAGCCTAAGAAGCTCAAGAATGCGAATGGAAGATAACGTATCCGACATCAATTCGTCGTAAACGCTCTGGATGGGAGGGGCAGCAAACTAGCGGAGCACTGGATGTGGCTGTATCCACTTTTACTGACAGAGTTTCAGAGCCTACGGCGAGCTGGTGTCAAGCTCTCGAACCAGCTGTCGCTGAAATGGGCGTCGTCCTCATTGAGAATAGCGAGCACCCGCGCTTCAACTCTCGCTTCATTGTCAAGAACAAGTCATTTACGAGTCTTCTGACTCCTCGTCGCGTTCAAGACTTTTTGGAGCGCTATAACATCGTCTACAGGAGACACAAGGGCAAGAAGCAGGTCAGCGTCGAGAAACAGGCTCAGATCGAAATATCTATAGCGAAGCACATGGGTGAGCTTAAGCGCCAGTTTGAAAAAGGAACGCTTCACACTGATCAGCAGTACAACTTGGCCGAAAGCCACTTCGTTATTGATCTTGGCGATGGCTAGACGCTGCACTTCGTTGGATCCCAGTCCGTCATATACCGCAGTGTCGTGTCAGGTATGTAATATGAGGATCTACGCAGTGATGATTTGAATTAACTGCGTTGCTTATGTGATAGGTCGTGAGGGCATCACAATGTGTGTTCTATTGAAAGGGGGTAGTGATGCACGCATGGCATGACTAATTAGAGTGAGCGGTGTAATAATGGCGAATCGCAAAGGACAAAACGGCTGGAATTCACAATAGTAACTCCAAACTTAAAAAAAATCTGAAAAATGGGAGTGGTTCAAACACCCGCCTGAGGAGACTCTTCAGGATTTGCAAAAATGGACGCACTACGAACGCTCTAATCACAAATCTCTCCGGACCTCCGAGCGACTTATACGTGTGTACAAAAGCTAAAAGCCATTCACTACGCATTCCCCCCCCCTTCCCCCCCCCTGATCGACGGAAGCAATGAACCCAGTGGAGCGAATGCGACGGTCGGCGCGGAAACATGCGTCCCCTGAATCGGACAGTGACAGCGATTACAACGTAAACGACGAGAACAGCGTTAGGGACAGAAGCGAGCTCGCGCTAGGCGCGACGTCGAGTTCGACGGAGCATTCAGACAAATCCAGCCGCTCGGAAGACCTTCTTCCCCAACATTCGACTCTTCCCCCTCCTGACCGCACCGTGTTCGAGTCGTTGGATGCGTTCGACACTTACATCCGCACATACCAAGTGGAAACGTACCAGGTAATATATATTTTGGCCTGCTGAGTATATGAGCTTCTCTACCAAGCCTGTTCAGACTTCGAGCAAACAAGAGATGTGCACCCACGCCGGAAAGTTAAAGCCGCAAGGGGAGGGCGAGAGCGCGTCAAGCGTCTCGCTCGATCGAGTGTCCTACACAGGTAAGTCTTCTACTGGCGGGTGCTGGCGGATACAGGCGGGTACAGGCAGGTGCCGGTGTGTCCTAGTGGGTGCTGGCGGGCGCTGGCGGATAATACAAGCATACTAACGTCGTAATGGCTTTTAGATTAATGCCTGCGTTCGAGAGGTGGATAAATCAGCTCACACGTTTGCTGTATGTATTACGAAGATGAGAACGATCCATATTCACTTGGTAGATTCGGCAACGTATCAAAACTATCCACTTAGCCGAACAGCAGTTGGGGAGAGTGTTCTGCAAACTGTGGGGGTTCTACAAAAGGCCGGTGCAGGAAAGAATAACATTCACCACTTTATCACTAAGAATTCCGACTGTACTCCGACGATAAGGGATGTACACAATCTGGTACGAAAGCTAAAGAATCAATCAGCCCAACCGACAACGAGTGCTCAACGTTTGAAAGCGTGAATGATGGATTTTTGTGGATAAAACGGCAACGTGGGTAGAATTTTTGAAGAGGCACAACAAAGCAATGTAAACGATGATCGTTTAGTTATTTATTCATAACACTGCTAATTATCCCTTTGTTGTTTCAGAAAACGCAATTTGCATAACAATGCAGACAAAACACATGCGGTAATTGTACGACCGTTTTCCGGAGGTCTTACTTATCGATGATACACACGGAACAGACGCACCGGAGTACAGTACTAGGAATTTTATTCATGATTCATGACACCTTTGGTAAAGGGCAGTACGTGCAGCATGCCTTAGTCCAGAATGAGCGGAAGGAAACCCTGGAAGCAGCCATCGAAGAATTCAAATTGAACAATCCTGCTACGAAGGGGCTGCAGTGCCATCATAGACAAGGACTTTACACCGTTCACACTAATTAGTCGTAGTTCGCAATTAGTCGTGGTTTTGCACTTTAGTGACATCACAAATTCGGGATATTCGACGAAAATGATCAAATCTAAAGAAAAAGACCGGTTTCGAGCAGATCTCATTGAGCTCTTTGTTCCAGTATGCTCGTTTAAAAATTAGACAGGAAGTTTTTACACAATGGACAGCTGAAATCCCAGTATAAAGGGCTTTGATCTTTACACCACAATTAGTCAGGGTACGACTAATTAGCGTGGACGGTGTACCGAAATGAGTGTGCTGGAGTCGGCTTTCCCTGGAACCGCACCCGACATGTTCTACACGATGCCCGACTGAGTCTGCAGCATGCCCGAGTGAGTCCGTAGTGTGCCTGACTGAGTCTGCAGAGTGCCCGGCTGGAGCACTATCTCGCTCGACGCCTCCCACCGTGATGAGTTGGTGCATGTAACGACGGGCTTGTTGTACTCTCTCTCGCTTTTTGCATACACCAACAGGGCGACGATGTCTATCAACTGTTATTTCTGCCACGGATTAAATCCGTACTCGTCTCCTCAGATAGGTACTTAAGTACGTGAAACTGGCAGAGTAGTATCTTGATCCCCAATGTGGTTGAACGTGGAGATGAAGAGGAGGAGGATCTACTAGAAGCGAGACTGCATCCCTTCGAATCGTATTTCAAAAGAGATTGGGATTATTGCAGGGACAAATGGTGCTCCTACAAACGTCAAAACGGTGTTACGCTGGGAAACAACACGAACAATCGTCTAGAAGCCTCGTGTAAGCAAATTGAATACATCGTGAGCTCTTTCATGCAGCTGGGCGAATCCATAGCGTCCTTGATGTACTACCCATCGCTCGCAGAAAAAGATTTCGTAAACCGAATGCTCAAGATTGAAGGTATCCACCATGCCTCATACGACAAAGAAATGCAGTACGTATCAAATCTAATGAGCGAGCACACGTGCGATATGATTTTTGAGCAGTACGCATACGCAGTTGGGCGTGCTACAGACAGTTTCTACAAAGGAGTTCCTGGTGTGATGTTTATTACAAACACGACTCACGACGACGATGCGTTGGACGAACCTAATCAAGAGTACAGTGTGGACAGAGGGAATTGGCGATGCTCGTGTATGTTCATGAGCACACGGTTGCTTCCTCGTAGACACGTGCTATACTTGTACAAAGCATTGAAAAAGGAGGCTATAATCCCGGCTCAGGTACATTCGAGATGGTTGCTGTCAGCATTACGAGCGTCATTTACAGTTCCCGAGATACCCAATAAGGTTTTTCGCAAACGACGGATTGTTAGACCCCCGAGCCGAAGGCCTGGGATGCTAATCGCAAGCTCCGCGAGGCTAACCAAGTCACAAACACCATCACGAGTACAATGAGCAGTCTGTGAATGCGTGAGTACCGAGATGCTCTTCGAGTGTTGAATACTGTCGCTGAACTTTTCAAGCATCGACAG